ACATACTCCTATAAGAATGTCATACTGTACTTAATTTTTTCAAAATTGTAAATGTATACTGTTGGCGTGTTGGTGTTAATGTATGCTACAGGTTGTTTCAAAAACTGCTCCATTGAAGTTAAATATACGTTTTCATTAAAAAATAAACCGTCAGTATAAAAATAATACTGTACGTTATACCTTTTTTTTTTTTTTTTTTTTTTTTTTTCCGTGCGGAAATCCCCTCGGATACCACCTGTCGGTGGCATGTCGGACTCGAACCGACTAAAACCGCACGCCTTCGCCGGGTACTAATTGCCGGGGAACCAGGTATACCCTAGAAAGGAAGGCCCTGGTGCCCCGACATACCTCGGGTCATCTACAGACGAGTAGACGACCCCCGCCCCGTGTGGGAACCCCATGTTCCCTGTGCTCCCTGGAAGCGAGCGCGCTTCGCAACGCGCTCGCCGCCACCCCGGCCTGCTTCTGCTAGGGTGACAGATGGCCTCACCTGTCACCCCCAGGCCTGCGCTTATGGAGGACGGAGGTCGTTCTGCGACCTCCGGCGCCTGAGTCGCCTGCGCTGCCTGGCCCGTGCCCGGGCCTGGCGGGCCGGGAGAGTTCTAAACCTCTCCCGGTCCCGCTCCGCCGTCTCCTTCGCGAGCATAACTTGCTCGCAGAAGGAGACGGCAGAGTTCCACGCACTCTCGCTCCGCACGATAGCCGCAATCAGGCTATCGAGCGAGAGAACTCCCACTCCGATAGCCGCCACGAGGTCTCGCCTCTACTCAACCCACGCCGGGCACTCTGCCAGCGTGTGGAGAGCCGTGTCCACGGTCTGGCCATCGCAGTGGTGGCACTCAGGCGTTGGCTCCTTGCGGATCAGACACAGGTGATCTCCGAAACATCCCTTCCCAGTGATCACCTGCGTCAATCGGTATGAGAGGGTCCCGTGACGCCTCTCGAGCCAATCCTCCATAACGGGTCTTACCGCCGCAATGACGGCGTGCCCAAGAATGTACGTTATACCTAAACAAACTGAGTCATGAATTGTGAGATTCAAAAATCGTTTTAATTTTTTAAATTACAAATATAAGTATTCTGTACAGCAGTAATACTCGTATTTTTAAGATAATATCTTAATCACTAAACGTACATAAAAGTTAACACACACATGTAAAAAAATTATACATTTTTATTTCGTGTGACACTAGAAACTTGCAAGGTCATAAAATACATTTATCGCAATAAGCACTTAAACCAGTGGCAATAAAGTATAAAGTCCCAGAAACTAAAACACACGGCTAATAAATGCGACAGCCCAATATTGTAACATAAGCTCCCTTGCTAGATCTAAGGGTAAAATAAATAAGCTATAACATTTACACAGACTCATCTTGCCTTCACTTTATATGAGTTTTTTTTTCTTTTATGGTAAAGGTTACCTTTGTTTGCTACATGGGTAACGGATCACCTGATGCTAAGTAATTATAGCCCACCTTATTTTTTTGTGGTTATGTCGGGACTCAAAACGACTGAAACCGCCCACTGCCTCGGGTACCTGTAGCTGAGGAACCAGGTGTACCTTAGAAAGGAAGTCCCGATTTTTTTACCGAATTTTCTTGATACACTCACACTCACACATTGTATACATATACCTGCATCCCTGCACTGGTAGAAAAAGACGAATGAGACACCCTCATTATCCAACTATAACTTGATACCACCCACGTAACAGCGGCAAGTGACGGCAACCGGGCACGATGGTAAAATCAGAAGTACATTTGTATTGAAAGGGAAAGATAGGTCATCATCATAAATAGCCTCTAATCCACAGCTGGACATAGGCCTCTCCTTAGAAAGGAGGTTTAGGCCTAATATACCACGCTAGCCAGACGGGTTGATATAGGATTTGTGTCAAGTTGTCCTTCTCTTTGCAGTAATGTTGTTCTGCAGAGTTTGCCGCCTAAGTCGCCTCTTACGACATACACGGGACGAATAAGCATGGTGACACTCCGCATTCTTAATCCGTCACCACACGATCGAAAGATACGTAAGAAGGGAATATAGTGGAAGAATAAATTTCCATTGAAATTGCTAAAGAGACCTGAATGTAACACGAACTGATTATAGTCAGAACATCTTAGTCCTAAAACTAAATTTATAATGAAAAAATCGCCTAAATTCGGACCCGGGCGACCCTAAGCTAATACGTATCACGTGTGTAAAAATATAGAATAAACAATAAACAAGTAATGCTTCTACGAAACATTTGGTAAGTTTACATTCCGTTTAAAACTGTCATAAAAATGTTGTAAAACTATTTTTAAATTTACACAGAAATGTTTATGCTTACTGGCCAGGTGCATAAATTACATTCCTAATGTCTACTCCACAGTTAATGAAGAAACTATGAAATTTCTCGAAAAGTGTGGAACAGTCAATGAAAATGACAGTGGAAGAGTCGTGTTTCGGCATATATGCGGCCTTACAGTAAAACAAGTGTTAAGAATGTGAAAAGAATTACTACACGGTTACAGATTATTTAGATTACAAATTGGCTTGGGATTGATGCTGCTCACTCCCGCATTTACGTTCCTACCATTCTTGTTATGTTTGAAAGTGATTGACATTTAATTTATTCTTGTAGTTCGTTTGTTTTCAATTTGTTTATTTTTTTGTTGAACTCGATTTGTATAGTATATTTTTGGTCTATGTAAATGTGAGTATGGTGTAGGTTAGTTAGTTTTTATTTAGTAACGTTCTGGTGGTTTTGAGTGTTTCCACGGCCACCCAAACTTCCTGCTGCCGGTAGAGTCGTGCTTCGGGTCTTTGATCTTGACTAATTACGGTTAAACTACACGATAGTTAGGGCCCGTATGCCGTCTATATGGATATGCCGACTCAAAACTATGGTCCTTTCTTCAAAAGGCCAACGCAAACCCTATAGTGCACTCATATAGTTTTCTGTAACATGTAACACAACAAAAAAAGACTCCTCTGTGGTTTGTTTCGGGGTTTCTTAACAGAGTGAGTCTTAGGAAATGACGGTGCCTTCTAGCTGTAAAGTCTGACTTATAAAAATATCTGAAAAGATTTACTTACAGAAATAAATATCATGTACAACAAATTGTTCTGTTGCATTTGATGGAGTTAGTGAGGTTACCAGAGACTACTGGCTTCTGCCCTGCCCTAATTAAGTACGCTACGCCATTCGTGCAGTCATGACAACAGCACTGAAGAGAAGGAAAACTTGAAACAAACCTTATACCAACTTTCTAAGGAGGGGCCTATGTCCAGCAATGGACTATTGGAGGCTGTTGATGATGATGATGATCCTTTACCAGCTTTTGTCTTCGGCTCCACTCGCATGCATATCGGTTATCGCGGTAAAGAGTAGCCTATGTTACTCAATAATAATGTAGCTTTCCATTGGTAAAAGAATTTTTTAAAATTGGTTTAGTGGTTTAGACATCAAAGCTAACAAACAAATAAACACACAAACAAACTCACTTTCACAGTTATAAAATAAGTATAGATTAATCAGTTAGTTTACATTCACACTTAATATTTTAAGTAAATCTTTTTTAAGAGCGAGGTCAAACATAATCAATTCACTCGCTCGAACACAATGCTGTCCCAACTAATTATGAAAGTATATTCTGAAGTCATTTTGTTGATGTTTCTCATGATTATAATAATGTCTTCGGGCTTCCAGGTGGACTGTTTATATTTTTGACGTAGGAGGGTCAAACTTCGGCGTATTCCGGCAGGCTCGACCGGAGTGATATCACAGCCTGACAGAAAACTGATGATAAACAATTATATTATAATGATAAATATAATAAACTCTTATAAATATAAATAATGAACACAAGTCTGACAAACCATTGCACAAAAATATTCTTTATTGGTACTTTACTTTCTTAATCCGTGTGGTGACGGGTTAAGTGACTTGAGACCCTACTTTTTTTTATGTCGGTTAAAAAGCAGAGCAAATTCACTTGAACGTTACTCGTTGCCTGCAAGCTAAAATTATATATTATTTCGCTCCAGTACATTACTGTTATAAATATTCGCATAACGCAAAAGAAATGAAAAAAACCGCTATATTTCATTTGAAAGACGTGTTTACCGTGTTTACGTTAAAAAAGCAAATCTACGTGGCAATGTATTACGTGCGATAAAACGTAATAAAACCTGAGAGACTTCTATATGAAATTCTCTGAATAGAATGTGAATTGCTTTGATATTATATGAACAGGATGCTTGGCTGCTACTTCAGTGGTGAAAATGAAAACTTAAGATCCGAAGGGTATGGTAGGTCGCAAATAATAAAGTCCGTCACAGTTACTTGAAGCGATTTTGATATAAGAATAGCAAATACCTAACTCTGACTCTTACCGTGGGAGAGCCATGCTTCGGCACGCAATGGCCGTCTCGACCGGAGTGATACCACGGCCTCACAGAAAACCAGTGTTAAGCAATTCTTTGTGTGAGTGAGTGAGGTTACCGGAGCCCAAATCCCCCTCCCGCTGATTCGAGCGGGCGGACTCCAAGGGCAGCAACGCACTTGTGACTTTTGAGTTTCAGGTGTTAAGACACGAACACTTGATCCTAAACTAGCTAGAACCTCTATTATGGTAACCATGCTTTGGATTAATATACCTACATATATATTACCAAATACCTACCTATTATGTAAATAAAGTAAGATTCAGACAGAACAAATGATCAGGCTTTGTTGGTCAAAATTCCCAACAGTTTTCACTTCAAAATGTAAACTATTGACCTTTATAATATTAGACTTCAAATGTTTTCTGGGACTAAACCCTCCTACACGCCTACCACTGTTAATCCTATACAACAGGATCGACATCACCGAGTTATGATATTCGGCAAGTCCCGGGAAAAATTAAACTGTCTTGGATCCCACAACGAAATCAATCAGAAGAAAATTGAAAGAGTGGGCAATTGAATAAATGTTGAGACTTGAAATATTAAAAGCATTCTGTTTACAGGTGCACAATGCCTCGGGTAATGAAGTGCTTACTATACATTGGCATCGCAGCGTTCTTGCATCAGCTTCCGAGGTTCTTCGACCGGCGCTACGTCCCTCAAACCACCGTGTGGAGGGGTCACATCGAAGAAGTTTGCAGGGTATGTATTACCCATAATAAATTTGTGGTTTATAACAATAATAACCTCACGCATTTCAAACACTGCCGTCTGATGATGAAACATAATTACAAATTTCTAAATACATACATAATCATCATCATCAACAGCCTTTACTAGTCCACTGCTGGACATAGGCTTCTCCTTAGAAAGGAGGTTTTGTCCTACTACACCACGCTGGCCAGACGGTTTGGTATAGGGTTTGTTTCAAGTTTTCCTGCTCTTTGCAGTGCTGTTGTCCTGCGTAATTTACTCCCTTAGTCGGCTGAATGACGGTATGAATAGGGGTGGTGACACTCTGTATTCTTAGTCCGTCACCACACGGATATGTTACATAATATAAAAAATGAATTAGAAAAATCAGAACGAATAATCGTTAATGCTCTTCACACAGTTATTTGTCCAGGGTTTAAAATCATATCCACTACCTCTGTCAACAACTTCATGACAGCCTCCCACAGGATGGCGGTTGCCCCCAATTTGTAACGTAACGAAACGTTTTATTTCGTAACGAAATATATTATATAGTATTCTCCTCTACTTCTTCTTCTTAAACTGAATTACTTTTAGAGACTTCAGTGTTTATGTTTTTTCTTTCTTCTTTTATTTACACTTTAAAGTATCGAAAGTAGTTTCAATTTTCCTCCTAAACTTATCTCATTATTCTTTATACTTCTTATATTTACACACTTTGAATGTATTTGTATTTATATTTTTATTTGTTGTTATAAAGTGCGTAAATACAATATATGAAAAAAAATCTGCAACCAACATTAATCATGACGAGATGACATTAATATTTTTGATTCTAAAATAAAAATAAATCAAACCTTCCGATAATCCCAAAGGGTTAAAGATCTCTCAAAGGCAAAGTCTATATTAAAGATATTCCGCCACAATTTAGTTCTATTTCTAATACCGCCTTAAGCCTAACGAAGACTCTTCATAAACCGAAATCAAATCGGTAGATAAAAGATTTATCAAAAGAAGTTTGATACACAAATGATATTTCCGAGGACAGTTATCTTACTCCTAGGGGGATTAGATGGGATTTAGTTTTTTAGAATAGAAACCGATTTGGGTCAGAAATCTTATTTGAATTAATGGCAAATTTAAAATAAAATCGAGTCATCGTTTGTGATACTGACTAAAAATGTTTATGCGCCAAAATGGTCAAAATTGATTTCAAAATATTATTAGGATGAGTTCAAAGCTTGGCTAAAGGGAGATTATGAGTTATATTTACATATATTTGAAGAATGTATGGAATACTTAGAACCTCAGAAAGCAGAGCTTTGACCTGACTTGTTTATATAATTAAATTTAAAAAAAATATTGATAATAACATAGTTTACGGAAGCATATCATGTTCCTGCAAGTTATTAGCTCGTTCAAACGTACAAACAAAACAGTCCTTTGTCTTTGTTCGTGGGAACGGTATTTACTGAAGTAAATGTTGTGTTTATTCTATTTTTGTTATTCGTTAGTATCTAGTTGTGTATTCTTAGTATCATTTCATAGTAGCACATTATTCACACACGCTATTAGAAGTCAATACTCGTGTTTTTACACATTAGCATTCAACATCGCCGAGATATATGTATCTCAGTATAATAATAATAACCTATAATAACCTCACACATCTCACACACGGCTGTCTGATCCCAAACTAAGCAGAGCCTGTGCTACAGTAACCAGACTGCTGATAAACATACTTATATATTTCTAAATACATACATAACGAACCCACGACCTCCGGTTTAGCAGCCAGGGTCACTAACCACTAAACAAACAGTAAGTATATTTCGAATAAGAAAGTATACTCCCTAAATTAACTTAAAGAAGGAAAGTATGATAAAACTGAACACCCTGAAAGCCGAGTCTTCAGCAGAACTAATAGGTTTATATAATCAGTATTGTCATAAGAATGAACAATTCACTTAATATAAGATAAACGTTATAATAAGCATAACTTATTGTCTTCTTAAATTCTTATAACTTATATTCGAACTATAAAATATGACTAAATACATCATAATCATTTCTTGTCTCTTAGCTTTATTTATTTTTCACAAATTTTTAACAACAAAACTTGTAATAATATTAAACACATGATTTGGTTACCTAAAAGTTGAGGCAAAACAATTGTCAATCAAGAAGTTTATTAGACTCGCTTCAACTTATTCAAGCGTTTCAAAACATCCTCGACATAAACATACGCACGTAAAGGACAAAGAAACCGAATCATTTGATGTATAATATCCTGTCAAATTACATTCAGCTTATGTTTGATATCACGAGTTGATGTTCTTGGCCTCTTTTATTTGAAGTAAGCCTACAAATATTTCCGATTATAATTTATGATGATTTATCAAAAGACATCAATTATTTATTTTTAGGAAAATATTTCCTACGTTTTTCTAACAGCTTAATATGTAAAGTTCAATTCTCTGAGAAAAAAATTGAAACTACCTGAATAGTGGCTAGTAGGTGTGTAGGTAGGTAGTGGCTAGTGTGTGTGTAGGCTAGTAGTGGCAGTTCGAACCAGTTTGATAACAAATTGCACCCAATGGTGCAATTTGTTATCAAACTGGTTCGAACTATACTTAGTACATCAAAATTTAATTTATCTAATAAGGAAATGACTAGAGAAATGTATAACACACGCATACATAAAGAAATATAGCAAAATACTTAATGAAATTTTGTCTCTTTTTCAGATCGAGATGGCTTCATGGGTGCAAGCTATATCCCTAGATGTATACTTCATCTCCTACTACGGATTCAGGGTCCTATTCGTCCATCTAATCCCATGCACTTCTCTCGTGGTCCTAAACGTACTTCTGTTCAGAGCTATGAGAACTGCGCAGATCAACAGGCAAAGACTATTTAAAGAGAATCGAAAATCTGAATGCAAGAAGCTAAGAGACTCAAATTGTACTACTCTAATGCTTATCGTGGTGGTCACTGTATTCCTGTTGGTAGAAATTCCGGTAGCTGTAGTCACAATTCTCCATATTATATCCAGCACTATAGTCGAAATTTTAGATTATTATATCGCTAATATCTTGATTCTTATCACCAATTTCTTCATTTTAGTATCTTATCCAATTAATTTCGCCATTTACTGCGGCATGTCCAGGCAGTTTAGGGAGACCTTCAAAGAACTTTTCATCAGGGGAGCAGTGACAAGTAGGAAAAATGGCGGGTCTAGTAGATACTCTTTAGTAAATGGACCTAGGACTTGCACGAATGAGACGGTTTTGTAGAATGTTTGTATTATAAATATCTTATGACTAGATAAGGATGTTTTGGAAATTGTTTTATATTTGTTATCTATACTGTTAGAACATATCAATCAAAAAGTTTTTTTTTTTCAGAAATGTATTTCGAACGTTTTACAAATTTCTTTTTTTTTAAATCTCGTTTACAGGTTTGAAAGCAAATGAAGCAGAGTTTTTATAATAAGAGTAAATATAAATAAGACGTTTATTTTCTACGAACTAATTTAATGTGATGTAAAACATTCGTAGGAAATTAACGATAACTAGACTTTATATATAATAGAAATATGTAACTTAAAATGTACTCGATTATGTATAATTTGCATTAATATTTTAGAATTATATAAATAAATTATTTACACGTACTTTTTCGTGGCCGTGGGTGATATCTTGACCCCATGGCTTTCAATGGTGAGCCCCCATTACGAAAAAGTATAATTATTTTGTAAATATTATACTAAATATGTTTAAGTGTTAATTACGTTATTAATGTGCTTTTATTATGACAAAGTAAATTTAATAAAAAATCAATTTATGAAATATTTGTAAATGTATAAAAAAATTAAATGTAAAATGTAGATAAATGTGTAAAAGAGGGTAAATGTTTATTTAAATGAAATTGGTACTAAATATATTTATGTTGTAACGTATAATTATTAGTGTTTGTAATGCTTCCTTGTTTAAATTAAATATAAAGTTAAGAACGTACGTAACGTATTATTTTAATCTGACTTAGATAGTACCTACTTGTCTAATGTTAAATGTGAACATTTTTGTAAAACTGATTCGGACCATGGCGAATTGAAATTGTGTTAGGTGCATATTATATTCAATTAAATAAATAAATTGTATAATATTATTTGTTTCATTTAACATAGTCAACCTCAGTAAAAATGATTTAGCTATTAATAATAATATAGACTGAGAATGTTCAGATCGAAAACAAAACTGCTTGGTTTTTACTAAGATAATTCGTGTACCATATCCCAATTGGATTTAGGAAAACATGAAAAAAAGATCGAATAAATTGTTTTTTTTTTCAATAAATGGCTACGAACCGATTCCCTCTAAAGTATATTTTTTAACTAAGACATTTACAAGAATTATCTCGTAAAATATGAACGTATCTTGCGCCCTACATAGTGTACTTAAGGTGATACCTTGAGAAGGAGATACGGAAATATAACATTAAATATTTATAACTTTACTTAATAATCATAATTTAATAACACAAAAAATAATCGATAATTATGTTTCTAAGAAACTAATTAAGCGAGAGTTCTCGTGACCAGAAGACTATTACTTTTTCTTGCACTTGCAGAATCATCATTGACATGCAACGTCAAAAAAAACCACACGTCACAAAAAAAAGTTACCTTACTTACCTATTTCTAACCACCACCTTTTCTAACTTACCCTTTTCTTGTTGACGGGGTGGAAAATCAATATGGATCTCCTGCTTCTTGGGAACTCAGAAGCCAGGAGTATGTGGTGTTTCAACTAAAAACCACCCCGGCGGCCGGCCTCAGTTGCCTTAAAGTGGGAGAACTCGGACCATGTGATTTCAGGTCCTCCCGGAATCGAGACCACGAGTTATCAGGCCCGGGGAAATAACTTCGCACCCTAAAACGCTGCGTGGCGGTCGCGATTGCGTCTTAATGCAATCTGGCCGCAGCAGTTGCATATTATTTTTATGTACGAGTACAATTACAATACAAAATGTATAGTTACTTTATGTTTTACAATTATATTAAGATAACTTTAGGACCTAGAAAAAATTGACCTTAATAACTAAAGTAATACTTTGTCCCTTTTGTCCTTATTTTATGCCCAAGACACCAACCCTTGTTAGATTGGGCTGGAACCTAAAATTGATATTTAACCTGATATTTATCGCTGAGGGATAGGAGTCAAGTCCGACATTTAATCAAGTAACTTGGTTACTTTATGAAACTTTAGTAAATCAAATATTTGTTTTAATCTGTTCTAATATTATAAGGAAATGAAAGTTGTAAGAAAGAGTTGGAAGAGTTTTAGAGTAGATAAGTTTTTAACCGCCGACGGAAAAACGACGGGGTGTTATAAGTTTGACGTGCTGTGTGTGTGTTTGTGTGTCTACCTGTGGCATCGTAGGTTCCGAACGGATGAACCGATTTTGATTTTGTTTTTTGTTTGAAAGGTGAATTAGTCGGGCGTGTTCTATGGTTGATAAAAATCGGTCCAAGATGGCCGCCGCCACAAAATGGCGGTTAACATATTTTTTTAGAACTCCCTCAATATGGGTATTAAATGAAAGGGCTGGACTAGTAGAATACTATACACTATGACAAATTACAAATTCGCAATACATATAATTCAATACATATAGAGTAGAAAATCTAGGGTTTTAAACATTTTTTGTCAAGGACTTTCAGAATTTGTTTAAATCATTTGACTAACTATACCAAAATTTCATTTCTCTTAAATTATTTAAGTACCGGCCACCAAGAAAAGTAAATAGACAACTTAAGAGCGTGATAACATTGAAGACTTGATATAAATATTTAATTTATAATTATAATTATTATATAATTTTAATATATAATTTTTCGGACATCTATTTTCCCCCTATTCCATGATAAAAGAAACATCTGACACACAACGCCATCTAGTTTCAAACAAAGCTATGAATATACTTTTTTTGTAGATACATACATATTATACATAGAAAACACAAAAACTCAGAAACAAATATTTGAAAATTATACAAACATTTGGTCCGACCCGGGAATCAAACCCGAGCCAAGGAGCCAGTCGAAAATTGAAGCATCTAGGCTTACCCGGCAGAGATGTGAGCAATCTACAAATAACGCTAGCAAACCACAAACTAACCCAGGGTGAATGGTTTAAGGTACCATCAAAATTTCTTTTTACCCGACTGCCAAGGAAAGGTTATGTTTTTCCAGCGTATTTTTGTATGTTTGTTTATAAATTTTATAATTACCTCGTATCTTTCTAATGGTTGGATAAATTTCGACATTTAAGGTATTGTTTTATCTGATTAAAAAAACCCACTCGGCTTTTACTTTTTGATAGAAAAAATAAACAAAATGGCGGAGTTTTGACCGAAAATAGTAATAGATTTATAAAATAATAACCAAGCCTACCATCGAGTAGGTTATCAAAATCAAGACAATTAAAAGGCAATTACAAAAATATATAAGTTATATATTTAAACGTAATAATTAATAATAATATGTTTTTAAAGTTTTTGATAGCATGTGCTGTTTCGGTGTTTTAAGTGCATTACTTTTGTAAATTGTCTTTTTGCAGTCGGGTTTTAATTTGTTTTAAATTGTGTACACTTGTATTCTTGATTGTTTGTGTACTTCAATAGATTTCTACTATTTATGAGAACAATGTCATGAGGTGATTTGTTTTTAAACTCTAATGCAAATGTAATGTAATAGGAGGTAAACGACACTTCGCCTGTTGGTAAGTGATTACCGCCGCCCATAAACACCTGCAACTCAATAGAAACGAGTGTTTTGCCAGTCTTTCTGTGCCCCCTACCAGAGTTAGGGAAGTGAGGGGAGGTTCAGCCTGCGGTACCGTCACTCAGTCTGTAAAAATGAATGAATTGCTTCCACAAAGTGCTAAACATGTATCAGGTACGTTGTGAAACATACTCTGACAGTTATCATCATCACCAAAGAAGGAGAAAAAAATAAGGCATCTTAACCAGAAGGCCTGGGGATATAGGAACCAGGAGTATGTAGTGTTTCACTAAAAACCTGGCAAAAAAAAAAAACAACACTGGACTCACCTACTCCGACGAGGACTCGGACCATATTATCTCAGGACCCCCCCGGATCGACGCCGCGCCTAGTAATGCCCTATCCCGGGCAAGCAGAGGTCTTCCCCCGCCTCTCGGCCCAATCATTTCAATACATATATTGCGGCCTGATCGCATTTTTACGACCAGGCCGCCATCCTAACACCTACCTGCTTCCAGAGGTCCCCACTCTCTGGCAGCCTGCGGCTAACCAAAGGGCCTAATGTAAGTTTATTTTACTCTCAATTTACCAATCACAACACCGAACGCGGTCACCGTCACGACGTAAAATAAACTCACACTATGTCCTCAGGTTGTGCCAGAGTAAGGTATTTCTAAGTCAGCGACTCATCTATGTTTTTTAATAATACCTACATTTGAAATACATGTTATACGAGACAAGAGAACGTACCCAAACTTCTGAATATCCCCGGGACAATTTTGTAGACGAACTTGTATGAAACACAATCTTAAAATTGAGCAGAGAAAGATAAGAAAATAATAAGTAGTAAGAAGTAGATTAAATATGAAAATTAAAAGATTTAAGTAAAAATTAAACAGTTTTCGTTAGTAATTCTTTTTCTTTTTCTATTTAATACACACTATACATTTACAATACTCTACTCTAAGTTTAAATCCTAATTCTAAATGCATGTGATATGTGCATGATGATATACTGTATCAAGGTAGTTAATACATACACAGGCATATTTTTTTGTTTGTATCATATTCACAAAAAAATACTAAATTTGCTGTGTACTTTCATACCATAATTATATATTAGTTTTATTCTCACTAATATAGATAGAATCTTTTTCATCATCAAGATCATTCATGTACCTTGAAGAATGTGAACCCAACTACTCGTATATCGTGATTCTGAATTTGTACCACACACCATCTATCGATCGGTCGACAAAACTAAATTTATGTTACTTCTAAGCAATGAGTTCTTGGAAAATACAAGTGGATTCTGGAATATTTTAAATGCTCCTTTACTTTTATTTCAACATGAAAAGAGAGGAATTTTGTTTTCTCGAAAGTTTCTTTTCCATTCTCTATACGAGCCTCAGATAGTCAACATAAACTCGTCCATTGTGTTCGGTGTCCGTGTATTCTAACAAAAGGAAGCTTAATAGCCCACCACCTTTTAGCCATTCAAGAATTTAAT